GCAACAAGGGAAAGAGTTTGGCAAACTAAGAGGCAATTTACTAAAGGCTGTTCCGATCAACTTTAACTTTGATAGAACATCAAACTTCCCTTTGCTACTTTCTTAAAGATTTGTCCTGTGTAGATACCATTCCCTATAATAATGTCTATAGCTTTGATGGAACATCCAACATCTTTTTAGTTCTTTCTTCAATACTCCAATATAATACAAAATAAAACCCATGTTGTCCTATGTAATTACCTTTCAGGATAATAATAATTAACTTTCGATCAACTATAGCAACATTCAACTTCTCTTAAGTTCTTCGTTAAAGACTTTAATATATTTCAAAATAAAACCCCTATTGTTATGTTTAATTAGCTTTAACGGTGTCAATAATAATAATGATCCTGCCTCGATCTACGCTAGCTGCCTCTAATAAAACCGATGATAATGATAATTGACTTCCGATTAGCTATAGCTTTAGTAGAACATCCAACTTCCATTTAGTTTTTCCCCAAAGTCTCAAATAGAATACAAAATAAATGCCGTGTTGTCCGGTGTAATTACCTTTCCGGATGATAATGATAATGATGACGATAATGCTCCTGCCCCGATCTATGCTAGCTCGCCACCAGAGCTCACCCTTTCGCTTTTGTGTTGACGACCAGGACAATGTTGATTGCAACGCATGTGCATTTTATATTATATGATAGCAGACCAGTATAGCCTGGCCATTACCCGCACCAAAGCAAAGTAAAACCCAAACTCAAACCCACTCCAACTATATCCACATTCACATCCACATCCACATCCACATCCACGTCCATATCCACGTCCATATCCACAAGCCAACGAGAAGAAGTCGTGTCCGCGGCGCACAAATTTATTGCTTTAGTTGTGCTGCTTGCAGAAAATCTACGTCCATATGAGGCTCCCTTTTGCGGGCTGAAGGCTGAAGGCTTCGCAAATATTTATGCAAGTCAAGAGCATAAAAATGTCGCAAGAAAATGAGCAGAGACCAGTGCAGCCAAACCATTAACCGACCGACCACTTGGCCCAGCAGGCAAGTGCTGCATGTCACCCCCGAACCCCCCCCTCCCCCTCCCCCATCCCACAATTCGGTGTAGTTTGGGTCCACTCTGCGATCGCGACACGCGAGGATCGGCGACCAGCAGCGGGTCCACTCAAAGCAATCGCAGCCCATTTGCGGGCCAATTTTCCACCGTCGACCAAAAAGTTGCATTTGATTTGGCGCTGCAATGGAGGCATCCCCTGAGGATGCCCTTCCGAAACCCGTTCAGTGGGTTTATGGCTGCTTGGGCAACTCAGCGGAATAGAATATTCTAGCATGGATAGCTTGGATATTTCATAGCCTATATCACATCTGCCAAGATAGCATTAGCTTAATAAATAAAAGATAAGAAAAATCTTTTGGTTTAAAGCTATTACTATAGTGGATACAACATAAGCGGTAATTAATGAGAATAAATAGAAGAGTATACAAATTTCGAACGGAAGTTTATGACTACTTTGGCAATTCGTTTGTAAATTTATGCTATGCAAGGACTTCTCTTAGCTCATTAGCTGGATTTGTATATAATTTACCTAGCATCGTATTTAAATATTTTAAAAATCACAGACAATGTGTAAGCTTATTATATTTTATAATATTATAATAATAAAAATATAATAAACCTGTGGGCTTAAATCGATCAAAACTATTACAGTTTTTTCTTTTAGAGTTACTATATATATCTAATAAATCTTTTGGTTTAATAATAATATTAATTGAATACTTTAAATCACAGATAATGTTGAAAATAGTCAAGTTTAGTTTTATATATGCCAAAAGAACAATCTAAAACATTTTTTGATTTGATGGTTTTCAAAAGCTAAAACTATAAATGAAGTAAATAAAAAAGTAATTAATTATTAGGAATTATTGCAAGGGTATGCAAAGTTGGGCTTACTACTTTAATTTCTCATTAATTTAATGACATTGCCCACTTTGGCTGGGTTTCAGTGGTCCAAGTGCAGGTTTTCTTCTAGCTCGGTAGCACTCCAGCAGGGATGTGTGTTTTTTTTTTAGATCGAGCAATTAAATGGCTAGTGGGGGATCTGCTGCTGAGTGTGTAAATAATGGGACTGAAAATATCCATCCAAGGACTTAAAGATAGTTTAAAAGTTGCCGAAGTTTGATAACAAACAAAGATATTAACAGAATATTTTAGGTAAATGAAGATCCGGTTTTGAATTAGAAACAAGAAAAAAAAAGGTGAAGTTTGAGTTAGGAGCATTGTAGCTGCAAAACCATTAAAGTACGTCATCTTTTTCCATGAACACATAGCCACATAGCCACATAGTTCACATCGGCAGTGCTGTTGTTGTTTCTCAGCCGTTCATCCATGGAAATCATTGAGCAACTTAATAATTGCAATTATGCATGATTTTTCTAAACGTAAATATCTAAAGATTATGAGATTCATTTTTCGTGACGAGATCTACAGCGCCGTAGATCGACCTTCAAAATTGGCAAACGACTGCGGTGGTTATGCCGGTGGGTTGGGTCATAAAGGTATTCGGGTTCTGGGTATTTGGGCTATTGGTTTTGCATAGAGCGTAGTAGGTACCCGATCCTGCCCAAATATAGACACGGAACAGGTAGAACGCACACCGGACAGTCCGATAATCCATAGGCTCATAAAACCGAAAAGACCGAACCCAAAAACGGGTCGTAAATAAACAGATGGGTCGCGTCGCCATTCGTTGCGTTGCGCTCAAATATACATAACATATTGTTCGACAGCGGACTTAAAGTGGCTTTCCCTTTGCCTATCATTTCCATCTCTGTTACTATCTCGCATTTCACCATTAGTAGTATCATTGCCCATTGCCCATTCTCAAATCGTAGTATTTCCAAATTCAATCAGAGCACGTTTAACTTAAGAGCCCTCACAGAACTTTTCCGCTAAACGATTGTCTGACCTTAGAGACGTCGACGCAGTCTATTCAGTTGTATCTTCTATAAGTTGTATCTTCTATATACGCTAGTCTATGGGTACACCCAAGGAAAAAATTATATGAGATGATATATAATATTACAAAAAATACCCGTAAAATGAAAACTATTGAGGTCGGAAGATACGAAATGATCTATGAAGAGCAAACTTTTTTTTTGGTGATATGCTAAGATTAAAACTTTATTTTATGTTATATAAGGATAAAAACTATATTTATTGATCTCCTTAGATCATTCAGTTAAGATCTTTAGCGAGATTAGGTAATATTCAAAGTTTAGGATCTTTTCCATATTTAAAGGTATATGAAGATCTTAACAACATTTATTGATCTATTAAAATTATAATTATACCTAAAAATAAAAAAAAAACTTTATTTACCGATCTATTATGATGGAAACTATATATTTATTGATCTAATAAAATTAATAATATATTTAACCTTAAAGGGATTTTTTTTGCCGAGTGTATAAGTATCTTGGTGGCTGTTTTGCTTGTAGTTGCCCAATTTGGAGGAACCTAAAATGCGGTGCAAGTGGATTTAGTAAGAGTCAATTTAGCCCCTGCTTTCTGCTGTCTGCCATCCGATTTCTAATTTTTCCGACAGGGAGTGGAACTTTCCACGGGATATGCATCTAAAACGATCCTTTTTTGCTGGCACCGAACTACAATATTTTTTTTATATCGCATTCTATAAAAAGAATCGGATGGGGGAGCATCGTATCGTATCTGCCTGTCCAAAGGCATTTATCATTCTAAGATAATCAACGATCGGAAACCCCCTGCTTTGATTATGTTAATGATGTTCCTTGGGCCGGATTGAATGCAGACTTGGCTCTTGGCTTTTGGTCTTGGTATTGGTATTGGTATTGGTCTTGGTCCTCGACTTGGCTTAGTCCGTCTTTGGTTTTGCTTTTGGCTTTTGGCTTTTGGCTTTGGTGTTGCTTTCGATTCGATTGCAAAAGTTCTTGGTGGTGGTGGCGTATGCTGGTTTGCAACTAGCAGATAGGCCGGCAAGTTGGCTTGCATACCGGTTTTGAGCCAACTCCTCCTTCTCCTCCTCCTCCTCCTCCTCCTCCAGCTGCTGCTCCTCCAGCCGCTCCTTCTCCTCCCTCGCCAATTGCAATGAACCACAATTAAGCATTTTTCTTTGGCCCTGGCTGATTGCTGATATTATCGTCCCCACAACTGCATTTGAAAATCGTGCTGCGTTTAATGACGCTTATGGCAATCGATCAGCAACGATCCTGGCTAGGCTAGTTGGCTGACTAGCTGGCTGGGGGTTTATAAATAGATATCCATAGGGTTTGCAATGCGGTCTTGGTCGGGGTTTTTGGTCTGCACAGGTCTGTGGAAGACTTACAAATTGCATTCGCTTTAAAAATAGACAGCGCCGGTGAACAATTTGCCGTCTATTTATGGAGAAAGGGTTCTTAGAACGTTGTTTCACTGCGGATGGGTTGACTAAAAATAGGGATCCTTGCGAGCTTCGCTCACGTACGCGCATTCCCCATCCGCTGATGCGGATTGGGATTCTGTTGATGCCGCTGCTACTGCTGCTGCTGCTGTTGCTGCTGCTGCTGCGACGTTCGTGCCTAGCACGCTGTCTATGGCAATGGCTATACCTATACGTACTATACCTACAATACCTACTATACCTACAATACCTACTATACCTATACCCATACCGCTCTGCCGACGTTGACGTCGACGTCGAGTGTCGACGGTCGGCCGTCGGCGGTCGAGCATTCGTGATCCGTCGCCGAGTGTATATAAACGCCCCGGCGCACTGGCATCCACTCAAAGTGTTTCTTGAAACTGACCGGTGAGAACACGCGGCAGGCCAAGCCAGCAGTGGATTAAGAATACCATATCATCTAAAATAATATTATATATAAATAATATAACCCATATATATATATACATATATATCTTTTTTTTGTTTAAAACCTATTTTTTTTGTGCGTGTGTTGCAGGGCGCGAAACGAAATCCCAGAATATTTCTGCACCAAAAAAAAAAAAAAAAAAAAAAACTAAACAAAAAGAAACCCCAAAACCGTAAAACGATAATAACAAGTGTATCTTTGAGATACACCGCAGTGCAAAACACGCAGTTTCTTTAAACCGACGATTTAGCTGCTTCAATCTGAGGTGAGTGGTGGCCAAGGCCAAGGTATCGGGGTACTACATATGTATATCCTTAAGGCAAGGTCCTAAACCTGCCTTATCTCCATCTGTGGCCCATCAAATGCCGGGCAAAGAAAGGAGAGAAAAAAAAAAAATATACACACATACATAAAACAAACGGGTGTGTTTCGCAAATCCAGCAGCATAGCATTTCTTAACAAGTTTCGATTGGCAAGTCTCAAGTCTCTCTTGGTGCGGTACCTAAATGCAGTTTTTTTTGGCCAGCAAGAGCTGTGCTCGTAAATTATAAAGATCGTATCTTGATTTGTGGGGAGCCGGCTTCTTGGCCACAGCTAAAAAATAACGTTACGCAACACCCACGAATAGTGCAATAGTCGTTTGGCGGCAGTTCAATACAATAGGCTATTTAAATCAATTCATGCATACATATGTACATATAGATATTATTTATGGGGTTTAAGAACCCCAATGTTTCTATTCTGGGAAACCATTTAACCGTTAGGCGCACAAGCTTTGACTTTGACTAAATAAATTAGGGTTTATCGATGCGATGGCCATTAAACGGCCGAATTAATTAGCATAAGGAAATAGCCAGCAGATGGCCGTTGTGAAGAGCTAAATTTGCAAGTCAGCCGTTTGGTTCTGGTTTCTTATCAGATGGATCGAAAGACTTAAGTGATCTTGATGATCATCGCTTAAGTGCCGACACATTTGAATAATTAAGTGGGCCACTTGGGCAGGGAGAAATGAAGAGGATGAGGAGGATGAGGAGGAGGAGGCCAGGATGAGGAGGAGGAGGCCAGGATGGGCATTATATGCCAGGGTCTACGAACTGCGAGCCACAGCCACGGGCACAGGCACAGCCAATTCAATTCAGAGGTAGAATTCCATTTAATCGAATCACAAAAGAACGTAATTCCGCGGAAGACGAAATGGTAATTGGGGAAATTAGCACGGGAATAGAAAGTCCAGCTTAAAATGTATCACTTTATCACATAGCCCTACTAATTCGGAGAACCTCTCATTCTTGTTGCTTAATCCCTCCCCCCCACTCCACAGAATGAAGTGCCAACTGCTTTTCGTGGCCACCGTGTGCCTGGCCAGCGTTTGGGCGCTCCCCGTTCCGGACGAGGAGGTGGCCATTCAGCCGGACAGCGGCTCCAAGGCCGAGCTGCTGACCAAGACCGTGCTGACCACCGTTGCGGAGCCCGCCTCCCTCAAGCCGGAGTTGGAGAAGGTGCCGGAGGTCAAGGCCGCCGCTGCCGCCGAGATCACTCCCTCGCAAGCCACCGAACCGGCCAAGGAGATCATTGCCAGCGGCGTGGAGCTCAAGGCGAGTGCACCGGACGTAGAGACCGCCCCGGCCATTCCGGAGAAGAAGACGCTGCCCGAGTTGGAGGTGCCCAAGCCGCAAGAGATCGCCGTGGAGGCCGAGAAGAAGCAGGAGAAGACCGCCCGCACGGAGACGGAAGTGAAGCCCACTGAGACTCAGTCCCAGTCGCAGGCCACCAAGGCCATTGAGCTGGCCCCCGAGGCACCGGCCGCCAATGCCGAGGTCCAGAAGCAAGTGGTCGACGAGGTGAAGCCCCAGGAGCCCAAGATCGATGCCAAGTCCGCCGAGGAGCCAACCGTGGTGCCCGCTGAAAAGGAGACAGCCGCCGTGCCGGAGCAGCCTGCCCGTCAGGAGCGAATCAACGAGATCGAGCAGAAGGAGGCCAAGAAGGAGTCTATTGCCACGGAAGAGCCAGCCAAGCCCATCGAAGCCGCCGCCGCCGCCGCCGCCGCCGCCGCCGCCGCTGCTGCTGCCACCCCGGAGCCAGCCAAGTCGGAGACCAACATTCAGGTGATTGCCCCCGAGAAGAAGTCTATTGAATCGGTTCCAGCTGTCGCTGCTCCCGCTTCCGCTTCCGCTCCCGCTGCTTCTCCCGCCGCCCAGGCTGCCCAGGCCAAGTCGGGTGAGGCACCCAAGCCCGTGGAGCAGCAGAAGAACACCGAGATTGTGGCCGAGAGCGCTCCCGTCCTGAAGACCAACGCCCCACTGGCACCGGCTGGCGCCACCAAGGTCACGGAGCCCCTGAAGGAGCAGCCCGCTGTGGAGACCATTCCGGCCAAGTCCCTGCCCGAGGAGAAGAAGACGGTGGAGGAGGTGGTGGCGCCAATTGCAGTACCAGAGCCAACTGCTGCCGTGCCCGAGGCCAAGAAGATCGATGAGGAACCCATTGCCGAGCAGCCCAATGCCCCAGCTGCAGCTGCAGCTCCAGCAGCAGCTCCGTTGGCTGAGCAGCCGAAAAAGTCATCGGAGGAGAAGGGTGACAAGTCGGAGTCGAAGGCCGATGACTCGTCGGAGTCCAAGGAGTCGGAGGAGAGCAGCGAATCGAAGGAGAACTAGGGATAGTCAGAGCTTTACACCCGACACCTTCAACCTTCCAACTTGCCCCAAAACCTACCTATCACCAGCACCACTAGAACCCCTCTCCGACCATCGCAATCGCAATCGCAATCGCAGCAGCGTCTTAATATTACGATCGTAGTTAGTGGTATCCTTAGTTGTAAATGGAGCAGAACGAAATGACACAACACAGCACACATATAACCATGAATATGGAACGCATGAGATCAAAAAGAAAAAAAAAATAAAGATGATGCCCGGAACAATAGAACCAAGTGGCGGATCGAAAGGAACCCACGCGTAGGCATAACAATTCAACATAACACACACAACAACACACACACACACACAACAAACAGGACAAACCGCTAAGATGGCATAAAGTAATACTTATAATTATAATTTAATTAATGTAATTTTAATTAAATCTTAGTCATTGCAAGACAACACACCACATCATCACCCTACCACGATCCTCAATCCGACCCAATGTGTCCATCTTAAACAATCCCCGAACAAAGCCAGCACTCGAGTATCGCCTACGATGCATTATAAATGGAAATCCTTTTTTTTTATTTGAGTTCTAACATAATGAAACTACATTTAATAACGATAGTGTTATAACGTATATATGAGAAGAAGTATATATGATTTTATATAGACTGAGAAAATTCTTAAATAAAAATCGAAAAAACTAAAATATGGCTCTCAACATTTTCTGGGCGGATGAATCAGAAACAAATAAAGCTCAAAGAATCTCGACTTGGTGGTCGGGTAAAGCAAAAAAAACAAAAGAAAAGGTAATGTACAAAATGTATGACAATTCATAAATTTAGAACTGGAAAAATCTTAACAAGAGACAAACAAACATTGGGTTTATTATCCCCAATTCCCAAGCTAACAATAGACATGAAACCTTTAACGATGATTTTGCAACAACCTCAACTTAGGAGATTGTAACACCTCAATTGAGCTGTCACACACTGTCGAGTGTCTGGTCCAATTATCTAAATAGCACCCGATCTTGGCTTGGATTATAGAACTTCATTGCTGACTGGCCAATACCAAGAATTCCCTCTCCATAGATGCAGTGAAGCGAACCAGTTACAGATCTTTCTAATTCGATTGCCAAGATGCCGCATGCTCGCATTCTGAACGGTTAGGTTAGGTTGCTTATTACCGATAGATAGCATTACCGACTACTAGACTACTAGACTACCGACTGATAGACTACCGGCTTTGGTCGCTTACCTTCTGCGTCAGCATCTGGCAGGCAATAACGCCCAAGGCCCACCAGTCCACTGCATGGCCATAAGGTTCGCCGCACAGAATCTCCGGGGCTGAAACGAGACGAGAGGGGGAGAACGTTTTACCCACCCGCAAAACAAATGGTGAAGATAGCTATAGACTCAGAATGGTTGCTTCGGCTATGGCCGAATTCGGATGATACGGATCCGGGTTATATAGAATATATTTGGTATATAGTATATAGAGGTACGGTAGAAAAAACACGGACAACTTGGGATAAGATGGCTGGTCGAAATGATTTAATGGTTTATTGGAGATAATGCTCGAAAGGCCAATTACATTTCTACTTTGAACGTGTGCTTCAAAGGATTTATTCTGCTTAATTCGATTTTACAATATTAGTTAAGTCGTAAAGTACATTTATCGATTACTTTTATAGCTTGGACATACAGATAAACATTGATTTACATACATACACATCTATATATTGGATCTCTATGGATACATAGAGTCGGTACTATCGTTTAATCACTACAAGTACAATCACAATCTTTTATACATACATCTCTACCGCTTCACCGCTTTACCGCTTCACCGCTTTACCGCTTCACCGCTACGTGCCACGATCTCAACATTAGATGGGTTCATTATGGTTGTTTTTTCTCTTCCCTCCTCTCTCTTCCCCTCGCACACTCTTGGCTTTCATCTACGTCTTTTCCATTATCTACACTGGCGATTAGGATTAGGATTAACACGATATATTTGCTCTGCTGACAGGTAATTGCTTGCTAGTGGAGCTCAAAGCTTGCTTTCGGAACGTTTTGCAAGGATAATCGAAATGATACAGCGTTTGTATAGTAGTTACACATGAAGGCTAGTGCTCCACCTTTGACTTGGAGCAAGGAAAGTTTTGGTGGGGTTACAAATGATAGCCTAAATTGACGAACCTCCATGGTCTGTGCATCCATGTGCCTCTGTCTATACACGGCTATCTACACATCTGTTCGTCCTGCTTTAAATCCTGCATTGGTCCGAGTGTCCAGGACTTAAATAACTAAGGCAATAACAACTGAACAACAGAAAATAGAAAATAAGAGCCTTTGCAAAAAAACATTCTAGTTCAGCAGGGACATGCCATAAATCTTTGACTACTACTTGGTATGTTATCTTATCACCCTTGTAAATGATAGAGAAATCGCCAATGAAACTCTAAGTAGCAGTAACTACAGTATGCGAAAACGATTGAAAAAAATTCCAAATAAATAAACTCGCGGATGTCATGGACATTCCTACACAATGGTGGTGACAGGATCATGATCCTTTCTCCGCCAGCCCGTCACATTGCGAGCGTCTCCTTGATGATCTTTTTCATGGCATTTCCCATGGACGGAGCAGCCGAGCCCGAAGTGGAGTAGTCGAATTTGAACAGATACGGCTGAACGTCCGGAAAAGATGTGTCAAAGATGAGGTCCAGTTCGCTCTGGCTGGGCGTCTTGGGCACGTAGTCGTGTCGGTTCATCAGCTCGGTGATGTAAATGACCTTTTCGGTGAGGAGATCGGAGACATTCTCGCGGCACAGCTGCCGTTCGTCCTCGTTCTCGTGCTTGATCAGGTCCAGGTGCACCGTCCACACCTCCCACGGGATCGACTCCTGCGGGAAGGGCCAACGGTTCTTCTTTTTCTGGAAGAACTCCAGGCTGATCTGGCCGGAGCCGCAGCTTTCGTTGGAGCGCAGCTTCTCGCTAAACGAGTTGATGGCCCGCTTCACCTTGTGCGTGAGACTGTCCGAGGTGCAGCACACGTAGGTGAAGTCGATGAAGTTGCAGTCGACGTCCGTGTAGCCGACCGTGCCGATCGAATACTGGGCGTCGCCCGTGTACATGTACTTGCCCAGGCAGCGGTGGAAGAGGACGGTGTGGAAGATGGTGGCCACCGCCTCGTCCACCTGACGACCCTCCATGGTCAGATCGAAGACCTGCGAGCGCGCGTTCATCGCGATAACTTCTTTCGGCTTGTGACAAAGATTGGATTTTGATTTTGGTTCGGGTTCGTTTTGTGTATTCTAGCTATGTACAGTGTTACGTCGGTATTGCGACTCTGTGCCACTTTAGTTCCCCCCACCTGCCTGCTATATTATGCCTCTTTAGTCTGATTTGGGTTCTCTTTCCTTTCTAGTTTACTGTTTTTCACGGCTCACAGTTGCTTGCGTAGTAAGATAATCTTTCTCTTTTCAAATGTACATAGTTTTACAGCTTAAATGGTAGTATCCTAGCGTTAACAGGAGGTTATATGTATATATATGTATGTATATGCTCTACTTCCCTATACTGCTCTGTTCCCTTTGCTTCTAAGTTGCTTCTGCTGGGCTTTCTTTTCGAAATGCCTTTGAACGATTTGGATTGCGATGGATCGGCGCGCCGCTTAACAGCTAATTCTGTTACTTAAGTGTTTTTGTTATGTTTAAGTTGGATTAGATCGTACCCATGTATTTGAAAGTGCCACACATGGTGCGCGTGTTGGCCCCCAGTTTGAGCCACTTGCTAAGGCCGAAGTCGGTCAGCTTAATGTGAAACTGTTGCGTTAGCAGGATGTTTTCCGGCTTGGCATCGCGATAAATAATGCCGGCGTTGTGCAGGAAATCTGTATAGAAAGCAAAACATTTAGATTCGATTTTTCAAAAACACTATAAAAGACTGCATTACCAACTGGCTATCAACTCACCCAGAGCAAGTGCTATTTCGCCAATGTACAATCGCACCAGATCAATGGAGAAGTGGGTTATTTTTGAGAACAACTCGCCGTTGGGCACGTACTCCGATACTGCAATGGATGGGTAGTGTTTAGTACAGATTCGGAAGGGTCAATGGAAATTCCGCTCAACGTACGTATGTGGAGGTTGTGGCGATTCTGCCACAGATCAATTTGCTTCACGATAAACGGATGATGACCGCAGACCTTCTGTATGTCCGCCTCGTCTTTTATCTGCCGCACGCTGTTGTCCTCGATGAGCTGCAATGAACGTTGGACTGTTACTAAATACCCGTCAAATGTCTCAAAATATATATATCTCTTAACAACCTTTGATTTCTTTAGCACTTTCAGGGCGTAGCACTGACTGTTGTCGCTCTTATTGCAGACCTTAAAGACCACGCCGAAGGCACCCTTGGCCACCAGATGCTCGATGTGGTACAGATCGTTCCGGCTGGACTCCTTGAAGTGTGAGTTGAAGATTGAGTTGGTCAGAGGCCGGTGCCACTGCGTCTTGCTTCTGCGAGACCCATGAAGTGAGGTCAGGCTGTGAAAAAAAAAACGTAATTGGTTTAATAATTGTCATTTTAGGGCACATTCAAGCTGTTCTACCTTTTTCGCGTGGCCTTGTTACGGTGACGAAACGAGTTGCGAGCCCCGGAGAAGCTCCAGTTGAGTCGTCCTCCGCTCAGGCTGCCAAGACTCCAGGTGGACAGCTGCTGAAACAAGGCAGATTATGAGGATTTGGAATAGTTTGGGTTCCCCTCTATTCAAGCGAAGCGCAGTATTACAAACTGAACACGCGGCTGACTATCTACTAAATGGTCGAAGACGAAGCCAACAAAAACAGCCTGAATACGGATTTATTGCGGCTTACCTGCGTCGTCGTTTTTGACGGTTTCGACAGTTTCGATGGTTTCGATGGTTTCGACCCAACCCGACCCGTTTTCGCCGGGAAATTCAGCCAATGAGTTCGCAGAACTATCTATCTATCTGTCTATCTATTTACGAATTTCTACGGAGGCGTAGAGGCGGATCTGCGATGTTCGCTGGACGACGACACGTGCGCTATGGCCAGTGAATATTTGCAAACAAATAACGCCATCGATGATCGAACAGCTGGGATCGGATCGCAAAAGAGAGCGAGAGAGCGAATCGTAATCAGCCCATACAGTGGCGACCACAAAAAGTGAGAAGCATTTTATTTATTCTATTCCTTGGAGTTATTCAAAAAGAAAATCATTTTTTCAAATCAAATTTCTAATTTAAAGTTTTTAGTTTTTTTAATGCATTAGTTTTTCTAATATATTTAATTTGCTCATTTACTACTACTACTATATGGAAAAACCCTCCTCTCTTAATGGGAAATAATTATAAATTTAATACTCTTCATTAATACAGTTCCTAAGTTATACATACATTATTGAAAAGCCCTTGCTGATCTGTTAGCCCAGGCAATGTTTATCAACATTTATGTCTTCAGCACTGATGGAGGAAGATGATTTGAAAGTCATAATACAATATATATATGTACATAATATAAATATATAACATCATATACAATATTGTATTCCACAAAATGCGGTGTATGCATAGTAATATACAATTTTAGTCATAACAAGTCATCGATATTGAAAGTCTTAAATTATGAATCAGCTAGTCTAATCTCATTAAGCGTGTTTTTATTTGAGGGCATTTGTTTTTGCGGACCCTGTACCAATATTTTCGCCCGCGACTGTGGCCAGTGTTTCTTCGCTTGAGGGTCACCATTCCGTATGGTTACACACACGCGTATGTGCAGATGATAGCTCATTGGATCTGGATCTCCATGTGGGCTATGAGACCCAAAGATTGCGATGCTGCTGGAGGAACACGCGGGAGGGCGGATTTGATAGCGCCTCTGGTTTGTCATGTGCGTTTTGTGTGCGGGGCGCCAGAATTTGCGCAGCGGGAGGCTCAATTGGCATGGCCATGAAACTATGAAACCCGCACGCGAATGCGGAAATACTTGGGGCATTTGAAAAGTGCGGAAAAGAGCGCCCACACACGTGCTGTTGTTTTTTTGGGAGGGGAGGGGATTGGTGTGAGGCAAAGGGTCAGGGGTCAAAAACCGCGACGTAATTGGATGGGGGAGAAAATGCGAATCCAACACTAACACCCAATGACGCAGTATTTATTTGTGCTGACAGTGCGGGAAAACATGGCCAACACTACTGCCTCGATATATATGTACATGTGAACTGATGTGGCTGCCTTATCAGCCTGTCCTATTTACGCCGCCCACCCACCACCCTTTCCACTCGTTTCTCCGTTTACCTGCTGCGTTTGTAGTGCCTGCTGCTCCGGCTGCGATTGCTGCTCCTCTGGCGGGGATTGGCTTGGATTGGGGGGAATGGGTTGCTGCTGCTGCTGCTGATGCTGCTGTTCCGCCTCCTCCTGATGATCGGCGGTGGCGGCTAGTTGCGTTGCTGGTGCTGCTCCTTGGGGCCACTGCGATGTCCTTCTGCTTCTGCTCGCATTCCGCGGTTGCGAGTTGCCCATCAAAAGCTCCACTAGTTCCAGTCGATTCCCGTTGTTTCGACCGTTTGTTGTTTGTTGTTTAGGCACACACACTCACACACACACACACACCACACCGCCACACACCACTCCACTCCACTCTCTCGATCCCTGGAATTGCGCAATCACCGTGTGTGTGGTTGTCTGCGTGTGTGAGTAAAAGCAATAAAAGCGCGTACTTCTCCGCCGGAAAGTGAAAATTCTAATATAAATATTTGGTAGCTGGCTCTATTTCGCTGTTTTCTTGTTCGATATGTTACGCTTTGTTGTTGTTGGCGGGTGCGAATGAGGTAGCAGTGTAGTGTTTGGCAGCACCAATTGTTATCGATATCGTTAAGTTATCGTTGAGAGCTGTTCCAACACTGAAACGCCTGCGCTCTAGAGATGGAATCATATCGATGTTTTTGAATTGGCGGACCAAACGATGTTTCAAATAAAATTAACAATTTTTAAAAACATTCGAATTTTTAAATGTTTTTAATTCCCGCTAATAAATATATACATATTAAGTTGTAATTTTTTTAATCTGCTTAAATAAATGGATGGATCAGCAATCAAATTAAATGTGGTGTTAGTTAAATTCAGGGGCCGTAATGATCGTTAATTATGTTGAAAATAAAATAATTCCAATTTAAGATTTTTTTTTCGGTATTATTTATGCGATTTAAAACAATTAGTCATGTTTTAAAGTCCCCCGCAATATATTACTTAAAAAAACAGAAAATAATAATAATCGATACTATCGATGTTTCAAAACATCGATAACATAAATGCTACATCGTCTCTTTCCAACACTGAAACGCCTGCACTCCTAAAATTTCTTTTTGTTACAAACTAAGTAGGAATTAGTCTTATTTAAATAGAGCATTTTTTATAGTTGATTATCTCGAAAAATTAAAGTAATCGTTTGAACAATCAACCGGTAACCAAACAAAAAGCAAACCGTTTTCCACGTACGCGAGGAAGGCCAAATAAGTCCACGGCACTAACGGGTGTTGCGGCAAAATAAACCACAAACTGAAAAAACAATAGAGTTTCTATTCTCACGGCGTTGATTAGAACGCGCGTCTCAGCAAAAGGCAGGTACCATGGACATCGAGCTAAGTCTGGACGAGATCATAGAGCGGAAGCGCGGACATGGCGGCCGCCCCATTGACAAGAAATTGTAAGTGCCACTAAAGCGTTAAAGCGTCCATAACATTCTGCAACGGAGTCAATATGTTGATATTGGAATGGATAAGGAATTCCACTGGAAACTACTAGTTCCAGCTCAATTTGCACGGCATTATTCTTCGTTAAGGATAGCGTCGTAGCTCAAAACTATAAAAAAATATGTTTTCCATTGCAGCAATGCCAACTACACCAAGCCGCGCCGGCTGCTCAACAAGCCCGCCTTCAAGCCCTCCGGAAGCGGTGGCAGAGGAGTAGGTGGCTCCCAGTCGGACCCGCCCGCACAGCGCTCCTTCGACGCCCGCAACAAGATCATCCAGAAGACACGTGCCAAGATTGCCGACGCCCGGGATCTGCTTAACCAGAGCATGCGCGACTCGGGCATCGATGCCCGCCAGTTGCTGCTAAAGCGAAAGAAGGAGCGTCCGCTGGGCCCCACAACCAGTGCCTCCGGAGAGCCACTGCCCACGTCGCGCCATGCCCACGGTTCGGTGCACACGGGCCACTTTGGACAGCGCACCATCACCATGTCGAATCGTCCGGGCGGCACTATTGAAACGGAATGGGACTCAGACGAGGAGCTCGTGGGTCTAGGTGGTCACAAGCCAACGGGACTGCGTCGCCAATACACCAATTCAAGGCCCAACCAGCCGGGCAAACCATTTGCACCACGTGGCTACGTTGACCATGACAATATGCAGGACCTCGAGGATGGTAAGCGCGTTGATCTCCAGCTGTTTTCATCCTTACATCCTCATTTCTCTTCCTCTGCCCCTTCCACCAGAGGAGATCACGCGCACCCTGCACTTTGGCAACTTCACCAGTCAGCAGCCGCCGCCGCCGCGCTACACCTTCGGTGGCTTCGACCTGAACCGCGACGACGACGTGGAGATGTCCACGGCTCCGCTGAAGAACAACATAGCCAACGATCCGTTTGCCATTTACGAGGTGGCCCGCAATCGCATCGAGCGTCCATCGCTGCCCACCCCGCTGGTGGTTGGGCGCACGGACACCAGCGAGAAGCTCTTCGAGCGCCGGCAGCGCAACATGGTGAACACCACCAATCTGCCGGAATCGCTGCGTGCCCGTCTGTTTGGCGGTGAGCCGGATCGTCGCGTCTCCCATGGGATCTATGCCAACGAGAACAGGGGAGGAGGACAGACCTTCGGCTCTGGCAGTGCTCTGGCTGGCGTTGGAGGTGGCAGAGGTGGTGGCAGAGGTGGTGGTGGTGGTGGTGGTGGTGGTGGTGGTGGTGGTGGTGGTAGTGCTTCTGGTGCTGGCGGTGGTGTAGCTCACTCGATGGCCCACCCGATGACCATGCGCCGTTCGCCGCCCACACTGCCACTGGGGGCGTCGAACAGCAGGGCCGGCTATCGGCTGTTGGTGAGCAACCTGCACGCCAACGTGACCACTGCGGACATACGCGAGCTCTTCAGCGACATCGGACCGATGTACGATGCCCATGTGGTGCGCCCCGGCACCGCTGAGGTCATTTACAAGTCCCTCGAACACGCCGAGATGGCCGTGGATGCGTATCACCATCGCGAATTCGATGACCAGCCGATGCACTGTGTGCTGGTCAATCCGCACTCCTCCCACCGCTCGGCGCACTCCGCCAGGTGAGTGTAGTTGGCTTAGAGACACTTCCAAACCCTGTTTATTAACGTTCTCTGCTCCGTAGCTCTCGCACCGTGACCACCAATTCGTCCGGCGTGGAGGTGGACATCGATGCGCTCCATTCGGTGCTCTTCAGGGATCGCTAGGTGGCGCCAGGAAACTAGGAAATTTCCCAGCTACAGTAGACACCGTGTATTCTATACAGCCTAATCTATGTTCGTCATCTCCTTAGTATTAAGCTCCACAATTTACACTTTGGGCGCGCTTTTGTTCCCTAGAACTCAATCCAACCGTCGTTTTTTTTCTTAAACTAGACAAGTTTAAACCGGTTTTCTTTTTCTTTTTTTTTTGGACGACTTTGAATCTAAATGAATGGAAAAGAGAATGAAAAAATAAGGAAATAAGTTATGTAATCCTTAAGGAGATCCCTATTTCCTACAATTTATATTAAATTGAGAAATTCTGAGCAGATCTGCTTGTTTATCTGAATGTGAATGTGTAAATCTAACAATACTGAACTTTACACCCCAATTTCTAAATTCAATATATTGATTCATAAGGGAAGTAGAGTTTTCTATCCCACTATCTCACTATTCTTCTATTCCTACTTTTCTCCATAGTGCCAAAATAAGCATTGATTAAAAAGTAAGTAAGAATGGAAAAAGTAATGTTACAATTGCTTGTATAATATTACATAAAATGTACAGTTTTTAAATTTCATAAAATTAATTCATAATAATTAAAGAGAAAAGGATCAGAGTGTTTGGTAAGCGGTTGAGAGAAGCAAAAAAAAAAAATATTTGTATGTATATAAAGTAACTTGTAGGCCGTTAGTTAGTTATCCCGGATGCCCGTGCCGTAGTTGGCACCGCCGGCCCGGTTCAACGCCTCCCGGAAGAGCTCAATGTCCAGCTCGGCCTCCACGCCCGCCTGCAGTTCCACGGCGAAGTTCTGCAAGGGAATATGGGATTGTATTGGTTTGGATTGAATGGCATTCGCTGGCCACCACTCACGTTAAGCACATCCTTGATCAGCGCCTTGTCCGTGGACATCTTGGCCCGCTGGATGACGCCCACCTCCTGGCCGATCCACGTGAGGAAGATGAACTTCTTGCGCTTGGACATCTCGTCGCCCATCTGGATGCGTATGTAGCCGAAGGCGCGTTCCGAGTCGCCGAACTGCTGCCGGAACTCCTCGAAGCACTGGCCGCGTCCATGGACGACGATCTGGGCCCCGTCGAACTTGAACACCGCCCACTCGGTGTCCGTGAGATCAGAGCGCACATCCTCGTAGGCCTCGCGGATCGAGTCCTTCTCCAGCGACGTGGCCAGCGGCATCTGTGGATGGGTAAGGAAGCACATCGATGAGTTATGGCCAGACCAACAGGATTACCATATCCACCCTCCTCCCCCCCCCAAGACGGACAGACGGAAGTCATGCATTCCGCTCCGCCAAAGCGAATCGCCCATCGCGCATCGCCTTGGCCAGCGATAATGAACGACCATGAATGGGTTTTATGTACTGAAAGCAGCAACCAAGTGCTCTCCATCTATATGAGTCAGATCGGTAATCTCGGGGCTTTCGCTTTCGATTTTATATTTTATTCAATTCAATTCAATTTCATTCGATTCGTTTAGTTTCCGTGTCAGGCAACCACAAAAAGGCTAAAATAAAACACGCCATTGCATCGCCCACTTGCATTACGAAAGCAATTTGTTTCGAAAACAGAGAAGTGCCTACACATATATTTCAAATTAGCAATATCCCAGCAATTTTCTTTCATAAAAACCTTTTGGCAATTACAAACAAGTGTTAAAAATGGGATCCAAATCGATTGTATTCAAATATGTGCATTGATAAGTGTCTATGTTGCATTGCGAAGGGGTTGGTTGTTGTGGATCAGATCAATTTCAAATGCATATACCCGCATTTGATATTGTTACAAAGTTTTTGATAATCATATTGAAAGGGTAGCCAACGCAAAAGCCTTAAAATTATGAGGGTTCCGGTGGGAAAACCAGGAACGAACAAAATGAATTCAAAATGTTTAATAAGAAGTTCTTCGTAAAAGTGTTTTTTTTTGGTAACGAAATAAATAATATGAAATTATATGAATTTGGATAGTCACATATAAAAGCTTGTATTTTATTAATATTATTTATTTATTTTTTATTTATTTAATTTAATCAATCAAATAATATTATAATAAGTTAAGTAAGAAGTAAATACATAGAACTTAGTAAGTAGGAAAATGTATGATGCAATTTTTTTTTAATCATTAAAAAAATATCAATGCTAAGACCCGGCTTTGAAACTTGGAAAGCGTGGAAAGGGATCGATGCCCTCAATGCAGTACTATATATTGAACCTACATATGGATCGGAAAACGCCCCCCTTTGCAATGCCTTCGTTATCTTATTGTCTTAAGCGGATCGTTGTATTAAAAGCAATTTAAGCGTGACAATTTTCAATCAGTAGCCGACAGAAAGCAGGTCAGAGATTTGATAAGTGACTTGGTTTCGGAACGGGATGACAACAAACAAAGAGCACAGCAGCCATAACTGGCCACAAAAACGCGCGGGTTTGAAGCCAGGAACAACTGTTTCGACACAAATAAAAATAGACATTGAAGCTGGACCAGAAGATACAGATACAGATACAGATACAGCTGCAGATGGAGATGGAGATACAATTAGAAATACAGATACAGATACAGGTAGAGATAGAGATCGGGTTGGAGTCCGCTCCATAATGCGTTCAATGACCGGAGAGTACGGCGTCTGGTGAGAAAAATCAATTAGAAAAGCGACCGTCGGCTGCCGAAAATCTCAAAAGCCAAACAATTAAAGCCCAAAAGATGATGATTCGGGCGACGACTTTCACAACTTGGGAACTTGGCTATGTCAACCATATAACCACATAGAACTATGGAGCCGTTCGGAGCAGCTCCCGTTTCGTGGCTCTGAATTAATTAGTCAAAAGCGATGCGGACGCGAAAACTGTGCCAAAATATAATATGCAAAATAAAAGAGCGGATGGTCGACGGAGGAGAAGAAACCGTTGCAGCAAATGACCAAGTCCGACCAAGTCTCAAGAAATCTCCAAAAAGCCCCTCAGATAGTAGACACTGTATGTAGGTGCTCCTGTGGCCCCTTTCCTGTGTGTGTGTGTATGTGTGTTGTACGTGAGCCAATTTGTTGGCTAAAATTAGCTGAAATTAAGTTTCCAGCCGATAAGCTTGATAACGGGCACACCATCAGCACACCAGTACACTAGCCATATCTCTGTCATTCTGGGACAACGACAAACACGGCAAATTAGATCACACCAGTCGGTGGGACGACGACTGCACCCTGCATCAAGATCCGTACGGATTGGCCTGGGATGGCCACAGTTGTGGCCCTGGTCATGGCTGAGATAAGCGAAGAGCCACACTGCTCGAAATTGAACTATGTATTATGGAAAGTTCTTGGATCCAGAACCCAGCCCATACTGTGGAGTAAATCTGGGGCTCGGTTGTTTGGCTGTTTCAATTTTACACACCATAAAAATCCACCAGACGTTGGCTTGGCTCACTTAGTCATTGGCAAAAGGGGTTGGTTTTCAGCGTTAAAAAGGGACTAATTCCAAGGAAAACTGAGGTGAGTCATGTTCTAGAGATCTATAAACTGTATCACTGCCAACAAGATTGAGTCAGTCAGCTGATAACCTTGCTATTCAAATATGATAAACGACAAATATGATATTCCCAACGTACTAGCCACCTTCTCAGCAGGAAAGCCATCTGCCAGCCAGCCAGCTCAGTCGACTGAATTGGCATGCGACCATGTCCGATGGCTACGCAATGAGCCATATATGCCCATATGTGCATCCATACAGCACATTGCATCGCATATATACTATATATATTATATATCCATCAATACTTCATTGCCAGTATGGGGCTAAAACTTCAGCTAAACGTAGCCAAGCATAATACAACTGCGAATAAAAATTGCAAACGAAAACGAAACTGAAACTGATTCCCTGAGCCAGGTGCTCATAACTGATTTGCCGTGTAATTCATATGTCGATACCCTTGCCGAAGGTATCAAAGTTATGGGAAATGCATTGCAAACATTGTGTTGAGTTTGAGTTTAAATCAAAATCAAGTCACACTTGGTAAAGAAATTATCTTAAAAAAAGAAAATCAAAAAGAAATAGCTAAGGTTTGAGAAATCGAGCAACTTTATCTACCCTATCTACGCTATCTTCTTTTGCTGTGCGTAATACATCATAATATTGTGCGGTAATATGTCAAAATAACTTTGATTGTGAGCTCATAAACCAAATAAAGCAAATAATGAGGTATGAACCATTAAAGTTAGAGCATTCGGTTGGTCTTCACTGCTCTTTTGGTTTTGTTGTTTCGCTTTAGTTATGTACTCGTATGTATACATTGCACATGTGGAATGAAATTGTTTTATGTTGACTAATGAATTTCAGATAAGAGACAGGAAAAATTCCAAATAATGCGATTGAATCAGGGGGTAACACAAAAAAAAAAAAAAAAAGAAAAAGGAGGAGAAGGAGGAGAAGGAGAAGAAGGAAATAAAGGAGAGGCGATGCAGATACAGTATCTGCATAATGCGGGGAGATATTCTTGGCTGAAAACAGAGACCAAACGACTGACTCACAGAGGTTTTAAATCAAAAGGGGTAATTAGAAAATAACCAATAAATGGCTTCGTATCGGTTAATAACCGCTTCGCCTTGGCCAGACCGAAAAAAAACAAAAAAACAATAACGATGTAGTGACAAATTGCCAGTTGTCGCAGTTGGCGCAGTCGCAATGACGTACGCTACGGGTCTGGGACCGCCGATATGTCAATGCCTGCTGCTGCTGCGGGTGTTCTTTTTTTCTTTCTTTTTTTATTTTTATTTTTTTTTCTTTGTTATTTTTATTTATATTTTTTTTCTTTTTTTTAGTTTTATATACCGATTTGCCTCTCCACAACGCAGGAAACAAAGGAGCAAACTGTTTTGTCGCTGCTCACGCCCCAGTCGTCATCGAATTTTCAAAAAAAAAAGGAGGGGGGTTTTTGAGTGAGTGATTCATATTGCCCGAAGGTGACCACTCGGGGTTTGGATGACCAAAATTGGCGCGCCAGGAAGTTGAGGGTGTGTATGTCGCCTACTTCAAGTCCTACCACCTTCAAAAACCATGGCTCCCACTAACCCATAAACGAGCGAGATTAGGTTTACGAACCGAACTGAAGTGCACATAAAGTCACATGAATTGGCGAGATCAGGTGAAACACAAAGATAAAGCGCTGCAATGGCTTTCAGTCTTATTTCCCCGACTGTTTTTGTCCGCTGAACTGAACGCCGTAATCTTGGGGGGGAAAAGTATACGTGTTTGCCAGGGAGACGAAGTGGCCGCATAAACCACAGGGCATCTGTGCTGGGTATCGATGGTGTCGGGCAACAAGTGCACCGCACTAACGCACTTGAACTTGATATGCATCGAGTGCGTCGAAGGCGTCGGAGTCGCCCCCGCAATCACCATCTCCATCTCCATCTCCATCTGCATCTGTATCCGCCCCCGCAGTTGTTTTTAAGTTGAGATGATGTCTCTAAAATACAAAAAAAAAAAAAAACTGCCCCTTCTGCCCCCCATCCAACTTTGGCCCTGCTCCTCTGGGCCGGTTCTTGTGGAGTCGCCGGCCAGCCAATGTCAGAGTTATTTACAGACACTCACGCATGCCCAGAGAGAGATACACACACGCCTGGTAACTCCAGCAACTCCAGTCTGTCTCTGTACACTGAGAAAAAAGGATGAGGCATTTTCTACACCAAAACTAGAAGCCCAAGTTCAATTCCATTGCTGGTCATTGAGTTTTGTATATTATTTCAGTTTTAAGTAATTTTTTTTATTTAATATCCTAAAATATGAACCTATAGGGTAAAGTCCGAGTTTAATCTGACCACTGGTTATTCAATTTTTTATAATTTTTAGATTTTAAATAGCATAGATGATTAAAAGTCCCAAAATATCCTGTCCTACGCTTGCTCCCTGCTCCTTGTATATTATTATTAACAACAAATTCAGATTTTTATATGTTTCATTTAATTGTTTAAATAAATATTTTTAAAAGGTTTAATTTGAAGGTTATAAATTATAAGGACAAAAATGGAGCATCATATTATAAGCAATCAAAAGATTTCAACATATACGTATAAGATAAAACGAATGGTATGATCTGATGATCCATTCGTTTTACCTTTTTACGTATTTTCTTTCTGTGTATTTGAAGAGATCTCTCTGGCTGGCTCTCTGTCTGCCCCCATCCAATCTTTTATAATTCTTAATTTTCGGTCGTCCCCTGCCTGTATACACACACATTTCGTGGACCCTGGAGCAGGACCCATACCATACCATACCATACCATACTCATATAGCCATAGCTATACCCATACCCATACCCACTCCACTACTCACCCTTCTCGGCTTGCTCTCCACCATTTGCTCGACCTCGATGCCGTCCGACATGCTGGTGTTCGGGATTCTGTGCTCTGTGCTCGGAGTTCGGAGTTCTGGATGTGGATGTGCCACTGGGATGCTCTAAGATCTTCGGATCGCGAGTGGAGTCTCGTAGGAAGAGAAGGCGTTTGGCGGATTATCAGGGGGGGAGGGGGAGGAGACGGCGTAAGTGGTAGTCCGGCGGGGAGGTGGCAAAGTGGCAATGTGACAAAGTGGCAGAGTGACAAGACAACGAAAACAAAAATACACAGCGCCAAAAATCGAAAAAAAAACAAGCACAAAGACAGGGGGGAAACGGAACCAGCACAGTTCCAGATATCAGAGCAGCCGCCGAACTTCGTCCGACCACCACGAGTTGTATCTCACGAATGCGGCTTTGCCGGCGTCTGCAACTCCAACGAAGTGGCGACCGCCGAACGTCGAACGCCGAAGTCGACGGCGCAGTCGCCGTGGGTGCGAGCGAGAGGTAGCTGATAAAAATCCAGAAGGCGCGACAGGGACAGCTGGATGGGGAGCGAGCGAGAGAGGGAGGGCGAAACTGCGACGACGTCGCCGCATTTGGCTTTATTTTCAGTTTCATTTTCAGTGCAGGTCATTCCCGGAAACGCCAAAAAAAGCCAGATATTTGGCTAGTGTTTTATTCATACACACAAAGAAAGTTTGGGTATGATATGATGGTTTTGTCATTTCAAATGATGGCTTGATTGGGGTCACCTAAACCTAATGTTTGGGGATCATAAATTGGCCAAAAAAGAAGCTAAGATTAGTGGAATGTTATACACTCCGCATCTCCAGCTCATCGAGTGCAATCATCATACACGTTGGAAAATCATGTCATTTAAAAATATCAAAATATATGTTTATAACATATCGCTCTTGAACAAAAATTTGGTTTGCACAAAACCTTATACAAAAAATTACAAAGATTAATATGCTGATTTTTTGTCACTCGTTTTTACAATTATACCATTTTAAAACCGGATGTTTTTTTAAGATAAGCCTTCCTTTTTTTTTTTGGAAATTTTGTTCAATTTTCAGCAAAACCCTTTTTTTAATTATAAAATGCAATCCTTATCAGCAAACGTTTAACTGTAAGGCTATATACCCCGCGTATATGCAACGCATGGAATGAGCACAGAACATTTGTTCAAATAGCAAATCGCGTTATCCGGGAAGAGTGTTTATTCTTGGATTTGGATTTAACTGGCGTAGGAATGCGGCTGAATCAATGATTAGCTGGAGCGTGGGCTTGGCAGCGGCAGAGGCAGTGGCAGTGGCAGATGCATAGGCCGCTTGCTAATTTGTAGCCAGCAACATGCTGCTGGCCACAAGTTGCCGAGTTTGGTGAGTTTGCGCCACTCGCCACCCGACAATCGCCCACGCAACATGTTGCGGCATCTGCGGATGCCTCCGCCAGTCGTCAGTTGCCCACGACGCGTTACTCGCAACGGTAGCAGGCAAGCCATCTCCTGCCAGCCGCCACCTTGTGTCCTCCGAAACCCACGAATCCTACGTATCCGCGGAGTTCTCGGAGCAATCCTCGCCAGCCTGCGCGCAAGCGTCGCCCGCTTTAAACTGCAATTTAGTGACTTTACTTACTAGTGATTAGTTAAAAGTGGATTTTTTTTTTTTTTTTTTTTTTTTTTGTTTGGGTGATCCAAAGTTGAGATGATGATAGAGTAATTGGTAGGGGTACCGGCTACCAATTCCGGGATGTTTAACCAAGAGGAGGGGGACCAGGTCGACCAGGCGGCCAATGCCATTTCGGCTGCCTACCGGGCACTGCTCGACTACTATGCCAATGCACCCAGTGCCTCGGGTCACATAGTGTCCCTCACTGTGGGACAACCATACAACGATACTGGATCTGGATCTGGATCTGCATCTGGATACAGTGGCTTAAGCAATAGCACTCCCTATGCCGATGACTACTTTGCCACCCAGCAACTGGAAAGCGAGCTGGTCACTGAGGCGACCAATTTCTACTTCGGCACCAGTTTCAGTTCCACCCCCAGTCCAAGTGCAAGTTCAAGTCCAAGTCCCAGCTCCAGCTCCAGCTCCACCAGCACCACTGAGATGCCCGTCTGGCTGATCCCCAGCTACAGTGTGATACTGCTCTTCGCTGTGCTGGGCAACCTGCTGGTCATCTCCACTCTCGTCCAGAACCGTCGCATGCGCACCATCACCAACGTTTTCCTGCTCAACCTGGCCATCTCGGACATGCTGCTCGGAGTGCTCTGCATGCCGGTGACTCTGGTGGGCACCCTGCTCCGCCACTTCATCTTCGGCGAGTTCCTCTGCAAGCTCTTCCAGTTCTCGCAAGGTGAGTTCTGGCCCCCTTCCCCAATCCCCGCCAGCGTTAAACGCGCTTAAGGCGCTGGACTTATGTAACGACCTGTCCCTCTGGAGCATGTTTATATTTGCTTAAACACAAAAAGAAAACACTAGTAAAATCAAGCATTTATTAGTTAATTTTTTTCGTAGTGCAAATCAATAATGTGACATATTTGATGAAAAACCATATCTTGTAACCTTACTAAAAGTGTAAAAATCAAAACAGAAAAAACGGCAAAAAAAGGGTATTCTTTAATTTCCGGTATCTATCGAATAAAAAGACCTTATATAGAGCTTAAATAGGTAATCTACAATTCAGAATGGTACTTTTTTAAACAACAATATACAATGTACATAAAAAACAAATCAAGTAATCATCATGCTATTCGTTGCCCCAAAAAGTTAAACAAAATATATAAAAATTTAATAAAATAGTAAAGTAACCATTTTTCCGTGTTAATTTTACATATTATTTTTTTTTGTGTTGTTGGCCTAATTATTGACCCCCCATCTCCTCCCAACTCTGGTCTTCAATTAGCCGAAATTACTAATATATAAGTTACGAGTCCTGTTTATGTCGCATGCGAGCGGATTCGGGGGTTCCTAGATTTTTATTGTTTTTGGAGGGGTGGGAGTCGAGCTCGATTCGATGTTAGGTGGAGCATTAAAATAATTTTTTACGATTATCGTCGCATGTGTATCGTTTTATTGGCTCTGTCCTAGGGGGAGCTCATGAAAAAGGCCGCAGGAGAAGAACAACAAGTTGGTAGGGGGATGGGCACACATTGTCCTGGTTACCCCTTTTCTTTTCGGTGGCCCATTGTATAGCTTTGTGTTGTGCGTGCCGCATTTTCGTGGAAAATAAGCAACCTAGAAACGCTCATCATCCACATAAATTCAAATCATAATATTGACGAAGTGCGGACAGGATAGGATACTTTGCATTCCAAAGAGATTTTGATTACGGCCATTACATAACATAACTTCAAATCAGATACGTTGCCAGGACAACAGTTGGACGTGATTAAAAAGACATTTGCAACAGGATATTTTGATGGTAGATGGAGGCGAAATTTACAGGCAACAGACAATTAAATGGCCTTTGAAAGCCGCTGGGCAGCTCCGCCGCATTGTTTATGTTTATGTGGAGGGCGCATTAGCAGCAAGGCCTCTTCATATATACATATATAGTATATGTATATACATAGTATAGAGTGTTTCAGGAAATTTTACTTACGCACTGCAAACAAGAAATTGTGGACCATTGCGTAATGTGTAAAGTTCCGGGCTCAATGTAATCCTGCACAGAATGGGATGTAGATGTGGATGTGGATGTGGATGTGGCTCTCGATTGGCAAAGGCAACTATGGAACGGAGAAAAAATGTTAACGCAAATGCGTAGCATACTTGGTTGGGCAATTTAAGGCGCAAAAAGCGTAGCATACTTTTGCGCCCAATCGCCACAGTCACAGGCTGGAAATTGAATAACCATTTCCATAGCCACCACAAGGAGGTACTTTTTTTTTTAGCGGTGGCGGAGCACTGATACCCACTGGGGAACAAGCAACATGCTAGGCTCGTAGGCGTGGCAAAGGGTATGCAATTAAAGGTGGAACAAGGCACAACACAACAGAACGGAACAGTGCACAACACAGAATAGTATGGTATAGTATAGTATAGTATAGTGTAGTATATGTAGTACCCGTATCCTAATGGCACCCGGTACCCAGGGGACATGTGGGCCACCAAGTAAACGAGAGTCATTGGGCCGCAAACGATGCGTAGGCATCACCTTTCCGTACATTTTCTTGAATTGCTGTGCTTAAAAGTCAAGGTGGCCTGTGAACTGGCGAAACAATGTCACATCTGCAGAAGTTTTCTGCCTTTAAAGTGGTCGCAATCAGAGCTGCATGTTTTTTTTATCATATATAAGAACATTTATAAATCTATATTATTTTTATTTAATGAAACATTTGAGTTTGTGTTTAACACAATTCTAACATCAAAACAAATAAATAAAAATAAAAGTCATGAAGCAAAACCCAAGTAGATTTCCAATAAAAATTATTTATTTATATATAATAAGCTTTCAAGAAAATATGTCTTCTTGAATAGAAAACATTGTCCTTTTCCGTGGTCCCAAATAATGAAATTTTGCTCTCTTTTGTTATCCTGATTTTCCAGTTAGTTAGTTGACAGCACTGTTTGGAACAGTTGTCAGAGGCAATAACATCTGTAAATACTTAAACGAGTTGAAGTTTAACTTCTGGCCAGGACCCTTTTGCTGTTTCAAGGGCGATCGGCAACGAATAAAGATGTATACATATTGGTTTAGCTTGGAGGTGGGGTCACAAAAAGGACACTGGCTGGCCACGTTCACCCCCGAATCGGAGTCAAATTTAATGTTAAGAGCAAAAACCAATTTCGGCGCAACTTGTTGTTTTTATTTTTATGTTTGCCTCAATTTGTGGCCGTTTGGGGCAGTATATGCTGCGAAACATGTGTTCGACAGCAGTTTTTGTATACGAAATGCAAAAAGTGTCGTGCGAGCAAACGATATGTGTACGGAAAATAGTGGTCCTCCAGAAGGCCACCTGTCCGGAAAAAGTGTTTGCTGGCCGAAAAGAAAATAAAATGGGTGGGGTGCCGCCCTATTTCCGGGCCAGCCTGCACCATTTGCCTGATGAGTTTTTAGCCAAGCGGCAAAGCACTCCAGCTCCGTAGTTGGCTAATTTGTCTGATCTGGCAGAGGGATGAGGATGAGGATGAGTGTTTTCCATGAACAAGGCAGAGAAAACTCCCGTTGGCCTTTGGGCTATGCCTAAAACTTACTGCCTCAACTTTGTCGCTTTCAATGGCTTTGTTGGGGAAAACTTTGCCGCTGCCTTTGGGATTTGTTAAGCATGAAGTTTTTTAATTAATGCACATTTGGCTGCGGCAGCAACTTTTATGCCATGTGCACGTGAAGTGGCCCGCAGAGCGGCAAAGATTCGGAATGAAACACTTGAAAACAATATTAATATCACTGAGATGTTCGCTC